AAGGTAAAACTCCGACTAATGGCTCATAGTCGGAGTTTTTGAGCCAATCAGAGAGCTAGAAATGCAATAGTCGGAGCTGAGAATATACTAATGGCTGATAGTATACGAGCAGCTCAGCCAATCAGATTGCAGCATTTACTGTAGGGACCATTAAGAAGGAAGCCATTGAAGCTCGCATAACTGACATGCCAATGGCGAAGGTACCCAATCACAGAAAGTCGACATTGGATGCTTGCATTTGATCGCCATCGATTACGTTACAAATAGGCGTGCGGAGAACCAATCACGATCGAGAAGTTTGTTACAGTTATGATTACAATTAGAAAATAGCCCCAATAAAATACGAGCGCTTATTGGTTAAATATCGTATTTCTGTTTAACAGTTAGACTACGAGCCGGAGTTTTCTCTGAGCGAATAGTCAATGAGGCGCAGCCGAGTTGGCTATCCGCCGGCTATCGTACCACAATGCTAGGCTTGTTAGAAATTAAATTTATTGTTCTGGAGTAGGGTTTGACTCATTACTCTCTGACAAAGTGGTTCGAGTTACTGAGATTAAAATTGTGAAGAAAATGACTTGAATGATCACATCTAGTCAGCGCGCGCGGTTTTCAGTTGAGCTCGGTCGGAAGTTCAAGTTGTTGAGGGTGACATTACAGTGAGGTTATTGAGCGAATCCAGTGGAAATCAATTTTGGTGTTGTTCGAGATGTTACACCAAGTTCCTGTTATAACTTACATCGTCACTGGTGCTCTCTTTGAGTTTAGCTTCTTCTGCTACTCTTCGCTTCTTGGTCAGCGGAAACTCTTTGGGAAAGGCAAAGAGCCAGAGACTCCAGAACGCACATAAACCTCCAAATATGGCAAAGCCTAGCCACCAGTTCCCCACCCATCGCCTATCGTCAGGAGTCAGCGAGGTCTGAACTCCAAATTCGACGAACTTTGAAAGGAAGATTGGACTTAAAACAAATCCCGCAGCGGCACCTGAAAGAAATGATTGACAGGTCCATTCATCGTTACATCAAGAATTGTGACTTTCTCGTCTTTCACGGATCTACGGCAAGCGAAAAGAGAAATCTTTACTTGTTAATTTACAAACGTGTGCAAGAGATAAAATACAACCCCGGTGGCCAGTCTGGCCGGTGCTAATCTCTAGTCCCCCCTGGATGGGATACTAGTCCATCACAGGGTTACCCTCAGCATTAACCTCCCGGCATCCATATATGCACCTGGCTGGAGAGAAGCACCGTGAGAGTAAAGTTTCTTGCCCAAGAACACAACACAATGCCCCAGGCCAGGGCCCGAACCCGGGCCGCTCAATCCGGAGTCGAGCGCACTAACCATGAGGTCACCACGCCTCACACAAGGGCTGTCTATGATTATTCTTCAAATTTCAGCCTATGAAATTATTTCTTGATGATAACCTTCCGTCGAAAAAAATGTTTCTTTTTGACAAAATATTCGAATAACTTGCCAAAAACACCGTTTATTTTTAGACAATATGAGGACTAAAGACCCCAGTGATTTCTCGAGAAGATATGATACTTATTACCAAAAGTCCAAAAGTGAATAAAACAGTTATCCCTTTATACCCACTATTCCAAAAGCAACAAAAATCCCAAAGTACATAGGTGCCGCTTTTGCCTTGACGTTTTCATCGATGTAGGAAATTCCTAGAGTGTACTTTGGAGTGCTGCCTATGCCTGCAACAACCATTCCCAGAATGAACATCGCGTAGTAAAGATCGTTGCCACCAGTGTAGGTGTCCTCTTCACAGTCTGTTTTCCCGCCAAACGTCGTCAGATTTCCCGCGCATAGTTCGCCACGGCTGACGGTTGCGTTGGTATCAATGGAAACTCCTAGAAATTACATAGGAAAGACCATTGGTGACGAATTTCTAATCAGAACGTCAGTCCGCAAAATAAATTTACGTTTCAGCTGTCCTATGAGACTAATTTTAATATTTTGTGCGAGGCTTGGTTTTTGCAAATGCTTGATGCATTTGTAGTGGAAGATACCTAATGCAGCCCCTACGAAGTGCCAATCGATCCATAACAATCACGAGTTGCCCGACATAAGCCTTTGATCACTTGTTACTGTACTTACCAGCTTCGTACGGCGAAGAGATGAAGTGTGGTAAGATGAAGATAAAGACACCGACAGCCATGATGAGCAAACCCAAGCTGCAGAACACCGGCTTTTTACGAGGGCCTCCGAAGAAGCTGACGAACGGAGTGAAGACCACAGCAGCAATGTCATAACTACTCTGTATCATTCCCATCATGAAACTGTTGAAACAAAGAGCTCGGTGTTAACCAAGACCAGTGGATGGCGTTGAGTGACAACTGATAACCGACTAAATTTTTAAGCAACAACTGACAAAGTGAGCTTGAAATTTTTATAAATCGTCCTTTTGTTGATATGAGAAATTCAAACAAGCACGCAGGCAGGCAGACAGACAGACAGTCATCAGACAAACAAACACTGAGTCAGACAGTCAGACAGATAGACAGACAGATAGACAGAGAGACAGACAGATAGACAGACAGTCATCAGACAAGCAAACACTGAGTGAGACAGTCAGGCAGATAGACAGATAGACAGATAGATAGACAGAGAGACAGACAGATAGACAGATAGACAGACAGTCGTCAGACAAGCAAACACTGAGTCAGACAGTCAGGCAGATAGACAGATAGACAGATAGATAGACAGACAGACAGATAGACAGATAGATAGACAGACAGATAGACAGAAAGACAGACAGTCATCAGACAAACAAACACTGAGTCAGACAGTCAGGCAGACAGACAGATAGATAGACAGACAGACAGACAGACAAGTTTGGTTTCCTCGAGAACTATGCTAGGACTATGTAACAGAATTAACAGATATTCCAGAAAATACCGAGAAGGGGAGAGGGAACTTTCTGTAACCAAAAGAAAAACCTTTTTTGTAACCGACTTAAATCGGGGAACTTTGTTAACATGGGAACTTACGTAACTTTTTTGCATTTTTTTTCGTAACTTTAGGAGGATTTTTTTACGATAGATGGTGCATTTTTATGACTGCCCTAGTAGTCGTTCTTTTTCCAAAACTTTTACTTTTAAATATTCCGTCTTCTTTACCCGAACCGAAATGACCTCAAATTGTAGAGAAAAAAACGGAAAACCTAAAAAGAAGTCACTGTAGGCAAGAGAGGAGAAGTGTTACATTGTACTTCCAAAGGCTTGGAATTCACGGACCTTACCTTGAAGAGGCAAACCGTTTTTGTATCGTGCTCACGGTTCCAGGGTACAAGCCACTGGTGATGAGACTCTGCGTGAAGAAATACTGACCCAAGAAGAACAAGAACCATTTTGGAGTGTTGAGGAACTGCAGCCATGTTGGACGAAACCTCAACCAGCCGTATGACAACCTTTTCTCCTCCAGTGGGGCTGTAACGGACATAGTGGTTTGCTAATGAGACAAGTTTTAATTGTCGTTAAATTTGAACTGGTATACATAGTTATACATGCATATTGCTGTCAAACTATATATTCTGTCAAATTGTGACGAACGAGAAAGGTTTTTTTTAGGAGGTTTCGAAGCAACACGCTGCTCTATACGCCTCATATTGTGCAAGCCAAATTAAACGACTGCCAGTGGCTGACAACATCAAGAGTACAACTGTGCTGCTCGGCTAGGTCAAGTTCACTGAATTATAAAAGGGCAAGATTCGAATAGAAGGCTGTTTAATTAAACTGCTTCTAATCAAACTAGACGCATTGCCCAATATTTCTTGCTCCTCTGAAGTAGAAAGCTCACAAAAATCTTCTGTTTGCAGCCATTTTTCCCAAGGAGTTTTCGCCTACTGCCGAAAGCTAAGCGACACTTCCTTCTCTCATTTTCCATATAATGCCAAACACAGATATAATGACTGATAACTAAGATCAGTGAACCAATTAGAAAACTAAAAATGCATTATACGAAAGGTTAGATAATCATGATTTAGTAGAAATATAACGAATGATGCATGTTTTCTTATTGGCTACGCTACTCGCTATCTATTCCGTTTGAGTCTAAATCTATTAGCGTTCTATTACGAATGGCGTTTCCTGATTGGCTGCGCTGTTCACTTGCTATTCTGTGATAGATAGTGAGTAGCCCAGCAGTGCGCGCTTGTTAACAAAATGGCGGCCGCTTCTTTGCGTTTTCCTGTATGTGAAGAGGATTAAGATTAAGTTTCGAACGACTAGTAGATTTATACTGAAACAATTCGATTGTTTGTTCTCGATTTCTTTGCGTGGTGTTTGACTCAGCTGGCTGCGCCCTCTTCTGAACTATCACGCAAGCGAAATCCCGAGCGAATATAGAATAAAGAAACAAAAACAAAACTAATGACATTATCTGTACGTCTGTCGTTCAACTGATCATAAACAAGAACCACTTAAAATGCGAGAGCAATTTGAGTTATTGTGAATTGTACGCAATCGCATATGGCGTGACCTCATTACGCTAACACTAGCTACTCCGCAAATACTGTTTGCGTAGTAGTGTTAGCGTAATGAGGTCAAGCTATATGAAGTCACACCTAAACCGCCGCGTTTAATTTAAGGGCTGGATCGATTTCACCGATAACTCCTTGGTGTGGCAGTCGATGACATTTACCATAACTGATCAGAAATGTTAAGGTCGGCACACGCTCGTGCGGGGACAAGTTGATTTTGTCCCCGCAACATGCTACGTGAAATTCAACTGGTTTGAATTCGCGCGTCATTAAGCAGGGACAAAATGAAATAAGTTTTCATCGCACTGCTCTTTCAAACTGTTCCCACTACAACATACAAATGAACAAATATCCTCTTCATATGCACCAGCTTGCATACTGTTCATGCAACATGCATCTTATGATGCGTACACACAAAAGGGCTTGTCCCTGCTTCACGTTTCCACAACATGTCCCTTAGTGTGAGCCGACCTTAAAGGCCACTTGTCAGTTTGTAGCCGCCATTCACTGACCTCCACATCTACTCAAAATAATTTTAGAGCGATCTGGTAGGTGAGCTCCTGATTAACCGGAGAACTGAACAATCAGCTGGCTCGTCGTCGACTATTAAAACGGCATTTAAAGGAAGCAACGAACAAGCCTGTTATTTTTGTCTTCGTAAATGCCGATGCCGTCTAACTTGCTGTTGTTTTTTTTCCGCGTCACAGCTCCTGCATTACTCACCTCAACAACTAATGGCAAATAGGGTCGAAATAAACTGCGATCCTGTACTACAAATCGTCAATCCGCCGACAGCTTATGAATCACTTGAACTCTGAAGAAATACGCCTAGATTAGTGAGAACTTTCTTCCAAAGTGACACTGATTCCGGGAGCATATAAAATTTATCATGTTGACAGCCCCTCAATACGCATCACAAAAGAGGCATTGAATCGGAACAAATGTTAAATAACAGCTTTGAGCCCCTGTATAAACTTCAAGGGGTTATTAATAGTAATCATGTTTAATGAGGGAACCCAACTCGCCACAGCGGTTTTCAGTGGGGCCTTAAAAAGTAAAAGAAAGAAAGCAAGAAAAATAAATAAATAAAAATAATAGATAGATTAAAGATAAATAGGAAAAAATCATGCTATTAAAAGATCTCTGTCACGCACGGTATCTTGAGTTATTTTTGGCCACATACAAAATTACCTTTCAATTGAAGGAAACCTTAAAATGCCAGTTTACTGAGATAGAAAAACACCAAAGAGATAGTAATAAACTATAAGGGAACAAGGGTGGTTAAGGATGGAGAAGATTAACACGGATTACAAACGACGAACTTGAGAAATTTAGGCTAAAATTTTTAAGATGCGCAAACCGTGACGTAGCTCCTGTAGGAAAACCTACCATTAGTGTTATTGATAGAGATAATCCATCGGCGTTTCTAAAAGTTCTACAGAGGGCAATTGGTGACAATGGATTTCATCTATCTCTCCTACATGTGCAACACTAATGAATGCGCTTGCAGTTTCTTCAGATCTAGAATACATGGGGTCTTTTTGTCTAGGGAAGAATACCCCCTCCTCCCCGCCCCCTGGCAGTTGAGTGCACCCTACACTTTAGGGGTAATTAATGAAACTGATTCTTCTAAACATATCTGTGAGTCCTGTGAATGTCAAAAGAAGACACAATGTTTCGACGAAGAGTTTAGACAGCCCCTTGCATTGCGCAGCACAAAATAACCATAGAATTGCAGTGGCAATACAGCGAAAGAGTGCGTGACTGCGTGAGGTTTTAAATCAACTAAAGAAGGCTTTTCCTAAACAATGCGAATAGGTTCTTTCATCTTAAGTTGAATATTAGTACTGGCATGATCTAAAATGCGGAAGCAATCAGGAGAACACAATTAAAGTGTGACAGTTTTCGAAACCTCTTGTGTACTTAACTACACGAGAGGCTCTATCGGTAGTCCAGTCGAATGCAAGGTATGCAACCAGCTTTAAGTTATCTCTTATGACTGGTACGTAAGGCCTCAAATGCATAAGTACCAGAAAGTTACACAAGAATGTTTCCTGAGATAACATATCTCTTTAGTTTCACATGGGCTATTACGACGGATATAATGAGAAAACAATAACCAAATGATACATTTTTAAAGCACTAAGTTGTAAGAAAAAAACAAGGTTTATTCGAGGAGCTCAATCCCAAAAGTCCTCATCCGTTGGGCCAGGTTATGTCAATGTAGCTCTTAGTTTGGTGTGTGTTTTTCGAAACCATTAAACAGGATTAAATGTTTGCAGCAAAAAATTTGCTGTGACTTGCAACACAGGGAGCAGTAAAATCTTATTTGACGTCTTCTTTGATGGTATTGCAAAATTAAATTCACCGTCTGAAATGTAGCGTAATTCAAACCTTCGACGAAGTTCTGACACATTTGGTACTGATAATATAGCGTAATATTTGTCTAAATCCTATAATTTGTAAATCGACGTTTCATTTCATCGATAGCGACCCTCGAGCGCGTCATTGTCCATCAAGAGTCTTCAGCCTCGGTCGTCAGCGGTTCAATTCATGACCGTTCCCTTGCCAGCGTTGCAGTATGGGATTGTTATTGACTTCGATCCCATGAACCCCAACGTGCTTCGATTGCTCGCTTTGCAGCTGCGTTGACTACATTTCACGCCATTTTGTTCGATTTTCCTTACGAAAAACTAGTTAAAGCCAAACATTGGAGGGATTTCTTCCTCGATCGAAAGGTAAATCTATAATTTGAAACACTCAGCGGACAAATTCATTGGCTCAATTTTGTTCAATTTTATGTTGCAAGCGGAAATCAACGACGCTGATTTTCATGGCACGTTCGCGTTCTAAAGCTAACTTGCTTCTGGAGATTTTTGATCGCTAAAAGATAATACTTTAGTTCATACTGATCCACACCGACATTCACTCTAGTTTTACACAGTATTTACTTTGACAGAATTTAGATGTTTAGAAAACCGAGTGAAAGTTTGAGACTGAGAAAATTATATTCGTATTAGGCACTAACTATATGCAGTGCTCTACTTATGATTTCCGATGGCGAACAGATTAAAGTGCAAATTTTTGAGCTTTTCTAGTCAGAAAATATGCACTATTAGGCATTTTTTTAAGTTCAATCACGAGTGGAAAGCAGAAAAGGTTCTTGTTTAATTAGTTCATAACCAACATAACGTTACCTTTGGGTAATTTTCTAATGTTCTTAATTATTGGGAGGTTGTTTTACTTACTTATAGCATTCAAATCAACGTGTAGTCTTCAACGTTATGAATTTTGACTTGAATGGTGTCTTTTCTTCATAACTGAAATTTAATGAGTTATTCTGAGGCAGTCATTTAATGATGTACATGTATGACTTAAATTTTAAAACTCACTGACGACACAGAATTTGGTTTCTTAGTCTTCTTGTGTCTTTTGTTGTCACAGATGTCAGGGAAGACAGACAGAGGAACATACAAAGTTTATGTGGGTAACCTTGGTAACAATGGCTCAAAGAAAGAGTTAGAAAGAGAGTTTGAGAGATTTGGAAGACTCCATGATGTTTGGGTGGCCCGTAATCCCCCCGGCTTTGCCTTTGTGGAGTTTGAAGAATACCGTGATGCAGAAGACGCTTGTAAATCATTAGATGGTGCTCGCATTTGTGGAGAAAGAGTTCGGGTAGAAATGGCTCGGAACCGCAACCGAGGGGGTGGAGGAGGAGGTGGAGGATCTCGTCGCTCTGACTACCGTGACGACCGTCATGGTGGCGGTGGCCGACACTATGATGACAGGGGAGGCTCTGATCGTTATGATGACAGGTCAAGGTCACCTTACAGGTGCGTCCTGGAGTGCTCAGATTTGTATCAAATACACGTTTATTAAATGATTTTGTTTTTGGTGCTGACTTTTCCATTTTTCCTTGTTTGCGTAGACGATATTTAGAACTGTTGGCTTGTGTTTTTGAGGGCTTCAAAAGACTAGAGACTTGGTTGTCAATACCAAAAGGTTGTCAGTCATTCAAGATGCAGTGTGTGAAACAACGTATCAATACCAACTGTAAAAATTCTTTCTCAACATCCGATCAGTTTTCTTTCCAATAGGAAAATTAGTCTACTTGTTCAGAACAAACATTTGTTGAGTTCCAAGTGTTTGAGACAGTTCTCAACAATTAAGACAGTATCAGTGTTTCTGCCAGAGGTTTTGGCATCAAGATGTTCATCCTGAAGGGTACAGCAAAATAATTAATGCTAATATTAATAATATACTCAATATCAATTTGGTTTTTAAAACATGGCTTTGTGATAGACGAGGCATATCAAAAAGCGTTTCACCTGCACATTCATTTGATCGTGCAAATAACACGCGCATTTTTGTCAGGAAAGTTTCACATAAGGGCTCAAATTGAAGTAGAGGCAAAAGGCAACATGAAAATTGTAGATTGCTTTGGCTTTTTCGTGCAGAAAACACTAATAGTTAATGACATCTAACTCTCTAGTCTGTTGAGACCCCGAGAAATAGAATTGTTTTCCATAAATTAATAAAGGTCTTTGAAGTGAGGTACATGACCAAGCTATTTTTCTGTGGTCCATTTTGAGTAAGAGAAGTTGCAATGTTAATGGGCCACCATTTGTTAAATGAATGTTTGTGGTCAAATTTGTAGTCTTGTTTATCATATTGACTTGTCTTTGAAGTGCTTTTATTTCATTTTGTAATACCATATTCATTTACTTTTTTGTGCTGATGTTCCTGTAATGTCTGGGTTATTCTGTAGGTACATCTAAGCTTCACCCCCAATGATTAAACAGCTCGGCCAACTTGACCTCTTTCATTTGGTTCTGAGCCCAGCGATGTGCCTTCCCCTTCATCTTCCTTCAAAAAGGCTTCTCCCCAGCAGAACCCTTCTCCCATGCCATCGACCAACCACAAAAAGTGCCTTCGACTTTCCACCTACATCCTTTTCACCTCAACCTCCCTTCGTTTCCCTCACAGTATAATCGTCAATGTCTTCCCTGTGCACATCCTTCCTATCCATGGTTCAAATCTCCAAAAGTGTCTCGTCTTTATCTAATTTTTGCGCGACAATATCATCAACCTCCACATTTCAAGGTATACAGCGACCAACCTCTGCAACTCTTTAATGCACTTCATTTTGGATACAATGGCTTGATTTATACAGTGGTTAAAGCCTCACATCCAAGTACAAAAAGCATGCACCTCTCAAATTTATCAAACGATTTTGCTGTGCAGTACACTGGCAAACTTCCAACCTTCAGAAATATATGATCTGCGTAACAGCCAGAGCCCAGCTTTCACAACATCTTGCACAAGTACGACGAAACACTACAGTGGAAGTTGTTTGGAAAGGATGTTTACTGTGTTCTCTGCCTTCAAATTCCTGCCAGTCTCATCCATTCCAGCTCAAACTATAAAAAGTGTAACTGGAGAAAACTTTGATGAAGACCTTCGGTGTAAACCAGTTGCTTCAACTCTTCTTTCATAATCAACTATGGCAAATAAAATCAACCCAAATATTGACACTGCACAGTCCTAGAAACGTTGAATGGTAGACATTTGGTTATTAGTCTTCTGGCAATCAGCATGGGTTCAGTTACTTCATCAACGACCTTCTCTCCCTTGCACAGCCTCATCAAATTTCGACCTCCATAGCAAAATTAAGTGCAGATCTAGTGTCCTCGTTGTCAAAGATTAAGTGCAGCTTTGTCAATTTTTGCTATGGAATTGTTAACAACCATCTACGTCAGGAGGAGAGGCATGTGAAATGTGGAGGGTTTGAAGGGTAATGTTTTGATTTTAAAAAAATCTTGATTTCTCGGGAAGCAAAGAAAGAGTGAATCGAAACAGGCGCAAACTAAGGTTTTGCTTCAAAATTTAGGCACGGATAAGATACATGTAGAAACTACATTTTGTGTTAATTAATTTTACACATTCATTTTGTGCATTGACAAAAAGTTGTTTTAACCGTTACTCTGAGTTAAACATCATGCCCAGTATCTCAGGACTACAGCATGTACAAAAATCTAACTATTTTATCAAACTTAGGTTATAAATAACCGAGTGTGATAAGTTTATAGAAAATAGCTGTCGATAAAAAAAAAGAGAGACACCATCTCCAATATGTGCAAAATTCTAACTGTTTTACTGAACTTAGGTTATAAATAACCAACTGTGATAAGTTTATAGAATATAGCTGTTGATGAAGAACAAGAGATGCCATCTCCATGTCCCTATCTGTTGGTAGATGATATTTATTTTTAATGATGTGTTTGGTTGGTTTGGTGTTTTGTGTGATTATCGTTTATAATTTACATGTACATTCCTTCTGACCTTTAGCGTTCTCTTAAATTTCAAAGATGGTTAAAATACCTGTAGGTGGGGAAAAGACAAATAGTAAATGAAATTCAATGTTTGCAGCTAAGTTTAACTTTTTCATTTGAATTTTGTAAAACAGGTCACCACCACGCAGAGGAAGAGGAAGGTCTCCTGATGTAGACAGGTATGTTCTTTACATTCTTAATTTTCATCAACTAAATACCTTCGTTTATCTCTCTTGATCTATTTTTGCCAAACATGTATTTGTTGATGGCAAGTGATGACAACCAATCCAAACCACATGATGTATGTGTGTTGGGACTGGTGTTGGTATGATAATGGCCTTTCAGCCAGTCAAAGTTTTCCATTTCTGTTGAAACAGGGAATTCAGTTTCCACAGACCCTCAATTTTTGTCTTTTCCCGGCCCCACCCCCTTGCATTTTGGCTCAATCATATCTCCCCCCCAGTTAATATTTTGCTTGTAATTATCTCAAAAAACTCAGATCAAAAGAGAGGGTTGGTGGTCAGGCTAAAGCTGTTATTACCCGAAGTATTTACTGGCTTTATACTGTAAGATTAAAAAAAACCTCAGTTCACCATGTGTGTATTTCTTGGCAGGTGGGGAGGAAGGGGAGGAAGGAGCAGGTCTCGCAGCCCAAGACGATTCTAACTTTCTTGAAAGGTAACTTGAAGTAGGTTGTCGCACGACTGTGGTAAAATGTCTTGTAGGAAGACACGTTTTGATTATTATCAAGTCTCTGCTCAATTCCTAGAGGCTTTAGTCTATAGGAAGACATATAAATGATAGCCTCCATTTGGCCCAAAAATATGCACTGATATTTGTCTGCAGACATTATCTGTTCTGAGAAGCGAACAGTTTTTCAAGGGCATAGCTTGAGAAAAACTGTGAGCTTCGAGGAACAGAAAATGTCCAAGGACAAAATTAATATGCGAGCATATTTTCGCACCAAATGGAGGCTATTGTGCTTATTATCCTTCAAATATTTTCCACAACACGTGCGGTTTTTGGGGATATCACTCGGATATTCCCCAGTTTTAGCTGGGGAATATTCAGTCGTGACGTGATTAGACCAATCGTGTGCAAGCACAAATATTTGATGGATTATAAGAATTGATGGTCTGCAAGAGTATAAATAGGCATTAGCAACCTATTATGGCAACTTGACAAAATGCGTGGGGTGGGGGTTGCCCAGGATGGGACTAGCATCCCATTTAGTGCTATACTCTAAGTGGTTATGTGCTACTGAAACTGAGATTATGTATGATTCTGTGTGACTTTCTGGCCCAAGTGGGAGGGTGCTATCTCTGAACTGTGATGTGGATTTGGAATTTTTAATAGTGCAAACAACACTTTATGCAATTTTAAAAATTAAGAAAGGTACAGATTAATGTGATGTAAATTTCATATATCAGAAAATCTAGAATAACGTGTGACAGTTTCTCAACTAAATACCCATTCATTGTGTTGATACATAATCCTGCTTGACTGGTAATAATACTGGTCATATTTGTCTATTACAGATGGCGTCATTGCATACACCCTGGATCATGTTGAAGATAAACTTCATGTGTCGAATTTGATTTTTTTGTTTTGTTTTAGTTTTTAGATAGCTTTAACTTCTTTTAGTGAACATGATGAGTTAATTGTAAGAATCTAGAAATTTCATGTACGATTGAGTAGCTTTCCTCCTGGACATCTTAGCTTCGTTTTTTAGGCCAAACTGTCACAAAAATAACCAAGTTCATGAAACGTTGTAAATGTTGTTCCAGAAGTGCTCATTAATGAAACTGTTGTTTTAATTGACTTGATTGACCTTTTTCGTAACTATGCTGTAGTCAGGATTTATTTATTGCTGTTGGATTGTTAATAAAGTCATTTTAAAATAGCTAGTAAGTCATTGTTCTCTTCCTTTTTAACTCTGTTTGATTGTGTGACAATAAAACTTTCAGCAGTTTGAATTTGGTACACGACACAGTCTGGTCTCCTCCGCAGCCGTTTTTTGGGGGGGATGTCACGCGACGCTCCCCAATGAAAGTTGCGTGACATCCCAAAAAAAGGCTGCCAGGGAGGCTAGACACGGTCAGGAATACCGTGATTTGCAAATCTCATTTCTTACAGCTTACACCCTGAAAAGATCGGTTATACATGTTGGGCAAAACGTCCCCAAGACGAAACGCGTCCGACAAAACGTCCCTGAGAACCTCTACAAATAAGTCCCCTTAAGCCTGGTTCTCATATGCCGCTGACATACCTGGGACATAGCCACCGGCACGGCCTGGGACACCGTTACGGCATATGTGAACATTTATCGCCGAATCATAATCTATCCCAGGCATTGATCGCCGGCTT